TAAATATTAAAGAAAAAAAAAAATAGGAGCTATGAGACACCCAGATGGGGAACATTTCTGCATGAAAATATGCTTTAGGTAAGGGCTAAACACACTTCAAGGAAGGCTGAGAAAGGCTAGGCCTCCTACCCAGAAAGAGCAATGCACTTTCTGTAACTGGCACTGGCTAGACCCAGCTTAGATGGAGCCCAGAGAGTCCAGTGGGAAACATCACACAAAGGCAGATATTAATTACAGCATGGAATTAGAGCTGAAGAAAGTAATTCATGGTCACCAACTTCCTGAAGCTACAGAAGCAACTCAAATTCCTTCCAGAGCAGCTGTAATGACCAAGGGTTATTTCCTTCACATAGGAGGGTCCTTCATTGTTGAGTTGTTCACTGATGTTCTTCTATCATTTTCTATTGTAACCATAACTTTGTGATTGGAAAGAACTGGTGGTGGCTTGAGGATATAGTCTTTATGTGAAGACGGTGTCCAGATAAAATGTTCGGTTGAACACTTTCTCTTTTTCTTTGTTTTTGGCTTCTCTGACATACAGAAGGATTTCAATCTACCATTTTTCTGTGTGTCTATATTTCTTACTGTCACACCTAGAAAAACTTCTCTTCATAGACCATCATTTAAATATTAACTCACATATGTATTTTGTACTTCCATGATTTCTTTTCTTTTTTCAATTAAATCTGAAATTCCTATCCATCTGAATATCCTATGAAAGTACTAGAAAGTTTTTTACAACTTTAGAAGGATAGGACTTTATTCATTTCTGAAGAACTAGCCTGTTAGCTCATTGATCCTGGAATAAGTCCCCCTCGTTTCCATATGTATTTGGAATATCACTTAAGCTGATACTCAAATGCTATTAGAACATAATTGGCCACAGGTTTAAAAACTGAGAGCATTTTCCAAAAATATAGTTGGGTCAAAATAATTGTGTGATCTTCCAGTTTGTGAAACTGGAGAACTCAAATGTATGTGATCTCCTGTGGCACCCAGAGAAGCAGGATGGGAGCAGCTGTGAAGATGAGCATTGCCCTGGGGGATTTACGGGCTGAATGAAGCTTTGGAAAGAAAATGTAATATTGGAACAATCTACTCCACTCTACTACAAGGGGATCTCTCTTCAAAAGAGCTGTTGAGCCATCCCCTTCATCAGTTTCTGTCGAACCTGATTATATGTTCTACATGTCTTTATAAGGGACTTTGCAATATAAGGATCAATGAAAGTTCACTAGTAACATTTCCCAGTACTTTTTAACTCTTGCAAGAATGTTCTTTTGGTCAGTTTTAAGAGAATGAGTCTGGCTTGCAAATTCTGATTTTCTGCAAGAATAAACAATATTTAAAGGCTCTAATTTTATCTGCTTTGTGCCTATTTTCTATGTCCTGTTACCATTTCCATGTTTAATTCCAGTTATACATCAGATTGATGATTTCAGTTTTTACATTTCCATTTTGTATTGCAAAAATCCTCCTTTCCTCTGAATTTTGAAGTATTACAGAGTTATGATTTTTTAAAAGATATATTGTATTTATTTGGGCACACAAAACTGGGGGGCAGGCCAGAGGTTGAGGGAGTGGGAGTGAGAATTTTCACCAGAAACAGAGTTGGGGGCCTCTCTGGTAGCACAATGGGTTAAGAGGCAACCTATGAAGTTGTCCAAAGCCACTGCAGCATGAGTTCGATCCCCTGGCTGGACAGGGAGAAACCCACATGGTGCAGCAGACCTCTCCTGACTCACCTGCTTTTCTGTTCCCCACTCTGTCTCTGTTGAATTCTCTCACCCCCCAAACCTCTGGCCTGTATCCCAGCTCTTGTATGCATAAATAAATAAATCTTTAACAAAAAAAAAAAAAAGAAAGAAAGAAACAGAGTTGGGAGCAGAACAGGCAGATCCACTGAAATACACTGTTGAGGGGAGCAGCAGGCGAGACAAGAGGTCTGCTGCATCGTGTGGTCTTAACTCCCTGGCCAGGGATCTAATTCATGCCCAGTGGCTGGGATAACTTGATAGCCCTGACTTTAACCCCTTTGCCACCAAGGTGGCCCTATTCAGAACTAGTATTGCAAATGAGTTTATTTATGTGTTTCTGTGCGTGAGTGTATTTGAGAGAGAAATATTTTTTTTAAGAGTTATTTATGCTTATAAGAGCTGGGGTACAGGCCAGAGGCGGAGGGGTGAGAGGATTGATCAGAGACAGAGTGGGGAACAGAACAGGCAGACTGACTGAAATACACTGCTGAGGGGAGCAGCGGGCGAGTCAGGAGAGGTCTGCTGCGCCATGTGGGTTTCTCCCTGGCTGTCCGGGGATCGAACTCATGTTGCAGAGGTTGTGGACTGCTCCACAGTGCAGTGTTCAACCCCTTGCACCAACAGGGAGGCCCTAAAATTTCTAGATTAACTTTAAATGCTTATTCCTGTTTTATGTAGATATTTTACTTGCCCCATGTATTCAGGTTTTATTATGTCCCTTTGTAGAATTTTGACATTTCCTTCTAGTAGCCCATGCACATTTATTCTTAACGCTTTTCTAAAATGCAAAATATCTTGCTTCAGTCACAAATGCAATTTTTTTGTCCATTATTATTCAAGGAATATTATTTGGTTCTCCAAGAAGTAACGTTAGTATTTTCTAAGATACAACAGTGATGAATGAAACTTACCGAACATACAGTCCACTCAGAAGGAACATTATCTGATTTAATATGGTTATTTCCAGAAATGAGTACTTAACAGTGCATTCCCTCCTTGCACACACACACATGCTCAAGGGTGATGATGTGGGGACAGGACAGTCAGCTGTCCCCACAGCTCTTCTACTACCAGAGAGTCTGCTGTCCAGTAGAAACATCTTCCTACTGATTAATATGTTGGACTGAACCATTGCCATAACTCATCTTCAAGACCTGTGTTATAACAAAACCAAAGATCTGATTTTGGTTTAAAATCCTTGTTTTCTCTTTTTTATCTCAGTGTCCATTTGCAAAAGTAAATCTTTTGTGTTTATATTAAGAGGGGGTGAGAGCAAGATGGAGGGCTGGGAAACAGAAAGCAATAAAAAAGAGGGTGTAATTTCTTTTTTTCTGAGAACATCCTCATAATATCTTTCTACTTCTCGGGGTATAAAAGGACTGGCTCAACTGGCAACTTCAGTGCACACTTGGTACCTGGGAGTCTTCAAATCCCAGGAGAGGTTAGTACGGAGCCCTTTTTTTCGGGAATTCTTTTCTTCTTCATTTATTTACTTTATTTGTATTCAGCACTTATTTTCTCTTCTATCCCATATTCACATATTCCTTTCAGTCAAGGAATTTCTTTGCTAGCTGGTGAACAGATTGCTAAAAATAATGAGACTAGTGGTAAGGGTCAGAAGTGACTGCATTTATTTAAATGGAAAATTGTTATGAAAAAATTTTTTTTAAAGATTTATTTATTTATTTATACAAGCACTGGGTACAGTCAGAAGCGCGGGAGGGTGAGAGAATGCACCAGAGCCAGAGTGAAAGCAGAACAGGCAGAGTGATGAAGTACACTGCTGAAGCGAGCAGCGGGCGCGGCAGGAGAGGCCTGCGCGCCATGTGGGACCTAGCCTGGTGGCCAGGGATCGAACCGGCACTGCAGAGGCTGCAGGCAGCTTCGCAACCCAGCGCTCAACCGCTGCGCCACCGGGGAGGCCCATGAAAATATTTTGAATGAATATAAGCTATAACAAAAGATTTTCATGGAAAATCATCAAATGAGTAATTCTTGGTGTTGGGTAGGATGCACAAGATTTTCTGTGAATGAATAACAACTCAAGAAACTTGGCTTTCCTAAAAGACTGGAAACAGTGCTAAGTCTGCCCCAAACCCAGGGGTGTTGTATAGTTAGCCCTTTTCCTCACACACATGCTACAGAAAGCATTATTTGAACTTTTCCTTGGTAATCGCTCTTTTTGTGGGAATTTGTTGTTTGAATGGTAATGGAGGGAGTCTTCAAAGTCCAGAATATATATGAGTACACACACATGTGTAGGGATATATATCCCAGAGTTTCCAGTCAGAAAGGTATTAAATTAGAATTGGGTCACACATCTCCACAGCTAACAACCGAACTACACCAGTACTATTCTTGACAAGCACACATGAAGGTATGTCTTAACTCCTGAAGTATGAGTGAGTGGGCTTATCCTTTTAAGTGCAGTGGCATGTACATCAGCTGTGGTTCATTGAAGTGTTTTGGCATGGAGCATGAGTTTTCAAAACCGCACCTTGCGTGAACCCATAACAAGTGGGTAGGACCCAGCATAAAAGGTTGGGGGCAATAGAGGATCCCTTCTTGCTCTTAAGTGCTCTTTCTCTGAGGTCTGGGAGAGGCATCATGGTCGTTCTCCAAACCACCTCCATAGCAGCTGATCACATTGCAGTGCTAAGCTGCTTTGTAAAGCTGAGCTAAGTTTGTTTAAGGAAAACTCCTGAGCTGTCAAGGTGGAAGGATGGCCGAGGCCCCTAGTCCCATGGCAAGCAGTCATGCCTCACTCTAAACCTTCCCACCAAAAGTAAGTCACCTTCAGGAGAAGCAGCACCCAGCTCCTGTGATTGCAAGGGTGTATCCTGCACCAGTGACTCCTGCAAAGTTTGCAGGAAACATTCAGTGTCTGAGGAGGAAGGTGGATAGGGCTGGGGTGCACATCTACTGCTCCCCACCAAAACACTTCTAGGATGGCTCCACTAGGTACCAGGAGGTCTGGATTGGGGGCCAGGTGAGAGGTCTAGGCTGCTTCTTCCCAGGATAGCCAGGGTCAGGGTCCACTTGATGCCTCTTTTTCAGGCACCTGCCTAAACCAAATCCTGGTGTGGGAGTAGGGGTACAGCCACTGCACCCATCCACTGTCTCCTCCCTCCCTGCCAAGCTGCTCACTGAACTTTCCCACCCCTTAAGGTTGTCTCTCTAACTCATGTATTCGGTTTTCAAGAAATAAAGCAAGAGTAAAGTTCCCTTGTGAATTCTGTCCAGGATATTTCAGCGACTCCTGCTGCAGTCACCCCCTGAGCACTCCTGCAGAACTGGAGGAGAAAGATGCCCTGGGAGTGAGACATGCGGCCTGCAGGTGCCTGCAGGCTGAGCTGGGCATCCCCCCTGATCAGGTACCACTTCAGCCCAGAAAGGGCAAAACTGAACCTGAGTCCTTGTGTTTTCATGTCACAAGCACATCTCACAAGGAGGACACAGAGCTGTTGGGGTCCTTGTTCCCGTTTAGGTAGAGTTGAGATGGTCAGAAGTCGGCTTTCCGAGAAACACTGGGGTCAGAGCAACACTGTCTGTGAGCATGTCATCAGTCCTGATCTTGACCTGGACAGAGAGTGAGAGGGCATGGGTGGTTTCCTGACGAGACTGGCCAGTTTCTACTGGGCTGAAGGGCCGGTTCTTAAAAGTAAGACACAGACAGCTTGATTGAAACCAAGATAGTAAGACAGGTTAGTATTCAAGTTGGACTCTACAAAAATTTAGTCAGCCAGGATTCCGGTTTGGCAAACCCCTTTGAGGAAAATGAATATGTATTTATCTTCTCTGTTTTGTCTACAGATTCTGTGTTTAAATTAGTGTTGTTAACTCTGCGTCAACATTTGATGTAGATTTCTCCAGATGACATTGTATTTATGACCATATATCATCACAGAGCCAAATCAGATAGAATTTGGGGAGATCATGAAATTTGTTATCTTCTGCTCGTGAGAAAGGATGTTACTGTTAATCCAGACCCCAGCGAGGCAAAGAGCTACCAGTACATGACCCAGGAGGAGCTGGAAGATCTCCTGGAGAGAGATGCCAGGGGAGAAGCAAAGGTCACCCCTTGGCTGAGAAGCATCGCTGAGAAGTTTTTGTTCAAGTGGTGGCCTCACCTCGATGAGTTGGCCCCATTTATGGAGCATCACAGGATACACAGAGTGTGAAAGCATGAGCAGCAGAGCCAGCATGAGCACTGCTCCTGCAGGAAAAGGCTGTGTTACAGGCGGGCACCACCCAGGGTGACTGGCCCTGAGCACCTTTACCAAGGAGGGGGAGGGGCGATTGAGTGCTAATGATCTATAAATCACTCATTTTATCCTATTGATCTACTTTGTTATCTTAACATTTTCCTTTCTCCTCATTTTTATATTTTCCATCAGCCTAGCAGTGAGGCGGAAATTTAATGTTTCCTCTGACAATTACCATTTTGTAAGCAGTTGGTCAGTTTAGCAGTAGCTGATCCCCAAATTCCTGGTGAGAGGAATGAAACCAGCTGTATAGCCTGTTAGGACAACTGTGATTGTTCCCTTTCAACAGCTTTGTCCAAATTTTCTCAGCCAGAAAGGGACCCTGGCATAATGTTTCTTTTTGAATCATCATTTATTTCACAGCATAGCATAAGGTTTTATTTTTGAGCAATACACATTCCATCTTGTGTTTTAAGACTTGATTATGCTCATTTCAGTTCATCTTTAAAATGAATTTCTCTTTGCAAATATTGATTTCTACAACCATAAGCAGCATGAAAGATGTATCTACTCTTTACCTCTATCTACTTCAGTCCTTCTATAGATTATACTTCAGTAATCTGCTTACAAATAAAGATAATTGTACTTTAAATATGCTGTGCACTTTTTTTTTAAAGATTTATTTATGCATACAAGACCTGGGGTGCAGGCCAGAGATGCGCGGGTGAGAGGATTCACCAGAGACAGAGTGTTGAACAGAACAGGCAGACTGACTGAAATACACTGCTGAGGGGAGTAGTGCTAGAGACAGGAGAGGTCTGCTTCACCATGTGAGTTGCTCCCTGTGCTGCCGCGGCTGCGGATTGCTTCATAGTGCAGTGCTTTAACCCCTTGCACCATCAGTGAGGCTCTGTGCACTTATTTTTTAAAACAAAGTGATATACCTTTAAATATTACATTATGATGCACAAAGAAGCATCCTGTGTGACAACACAATTGTCAAAAGCCAGGATTTCTACCTTAACTGATTACACTGTTTCCTCACTGTTTCCTGTTAACATTGTGTTGTACAGGTATATAAAGAACTAAATGGAGGTGTGTTGGTGAATGGCATTTAGGCTTTCCTATTTGCAGGTCTCACGTGAGATGGACACAAATTTTCAGTTTCCACATGAACTGGAGTAGAACGTTTCTCTCACTATGTAAGTTTGGCCTTTTTAAAAAGTCTACATCCTATTGATTGTCACAATTATTGGATAGTAAGTGCTTATGGGTTCCATTCTTCAACCTTAGGTGAAAGAAAGAGAGCTCTTAATTATTATATCATAGCTATTACTTAGATAAATCTTAGATAAAACTTAGATAAAATGTTTTGAATCTCATTAACTTGCAATCTAATAAGATGTGACTTTATTATAACTTTTAAAAAAGATTTATTCATTTATGCATAGAAGAACTGGGGTAGGGCCTCCCCTGGTGGCACAGCGGTTGAGTGCTGGGCTGCGAAGCTGCGCGCAGCCTCAGCAGCGCCGGTTCGATCCCTGGCCACGGGGCGAGGGCCCCACATGGCGCGCAGACCTCTCCTTCTGCCCACTGCTCCTCTTAGCAGTGTATTTCGTCAGTCTGCCTATTCTGCTCTCCGCTCTGGCTCTGGTGAATTCTCTCACCCTCCCGTGCTTTTGACTGTACCCAGGGCTTGTATGAATAAATAAATAAATCTTTAAAAAAAAAAAAAAGAACTGTGGTATAAGCCAGAGGTGTGGGGGTAAGAGGATTCACCAGAGACAGAGTGGGGAGCAGAACAGGCAGATCTACTGAAATACACTGCTGAGGGGAGCAGTGGGCAAGACAGGAGAGGTCTGCTGTGCCATGTGGGTTAGCTCCCTGGCTGGGGATCCAAGATAGGACTGTCTTTAACTCCTGCACCACCAGGGAGGCCCTATTTTAAAATTGATTTTAGTGTTAAAAAAATGATACTAGTGTTAAAATTTTCACTAGAAAATTTAATGTCTCCCCCCAAAAAAAATCACTGTATGTTTAAAGTGTTTTCTTTAAGTAGCAAAAAATTCTTCTGACTGTAGCTAAATGTTACTTTATCTTTAGGATTTATAATATTGATTATATTAAATGTAAAGCTTATTCTTTCCAAGGTAAGTCCATTTTAATCTTGGGGGAAAGTTAAAATGAAAAACATTTTCTTCTCAGATTTTGAATGGCATATTCAAAATCTATTACCCCAGTAAATAGTCAATTGAGACAAAATTGATAAATTCTTGTATAATTTACCAGAGCTGGTGCAATGTAGAAGTAGAAAGTATGAACAATCCTATAACTATTAAAGAAAATGATCTAGATTTTACGACCGTCTCACAAAGAAAATTCCAGGACCATCGACCTCACCATTGATATCAATCAAACCAATAAGACACAAATACCACTGATCTTAATCACCTTACAGTTTTTTTGGAAAGATTTATTTTATTTATTTTTGCATACAAGAATTGGGGCAAAGGCCAGATGTGCAGGAGAAGGTTAAGAGGATTCATCAGAATCCTTCACAGAGTGGAGTGCAGAACATGCAGACTGACTGAAGTACAGTGCCTAAGGGAGCAGCGGGTGAGATAGGAGCCGTCTACTGTGCCATGTGTGTCAGCTCCCTGGACGGGGATCGAACTCGTGCTGCAGTGGCTGCCGATAGCTTCAAAGTGCTGAGACTAACCCCCTTGAGCCATCAGGGAGGCCCCACTTTCCAAATTGTTTTACCAGTCTCCAACCTTAGATGTTCGCAAATCATGATGTCAAATGTACCAAATATTAGTAAAAATTGCATTCTTACTCATCAATCTTACTCATGAACATAAATGGCGAAATCAGAATCATATCTAGTAAATATAAAAAGGTACAATATTACACAGAAGACAGTTTAGTCCAGATATGTAAGAGTTGTTTCACATCAGAGCCCATCAATTTAGTTCACCATGTATGATAAAAGAGAAATCATTTGACCTTCCTGTCTCGCCCACTGTTCCCCTCAGCAGTGTATTTCAGTCAGTCTGCCTGTTCTGCTCCCCACTCTGTCTCTAGTAAATCCTCTCACCCCCCGCACCTCTGGCCTGTGTCCCAGCTCTTATATAAATAAATAAATCTTTAAAAAAAGAGAGAAATCATTTGACAATTTCAATATATACACCAAAACTGCTTGATAAAATTCAGCATCTATTTGTGATCTTTGAAAAATAAAACAAAAACTAGTAATTGACTAGGTATGCAAAGGGACTTTCTGAATCAGATAAAGAGAATCTGAGAGGACTACAAGGTTTACTTAATGTGAAATACTGAAAACTCTTCTCCAGAGAATGAGACCAAGGATGCCAAGTTTAGGCTTAGGTTTAGGTTTAACCTAAACCTCAGGTTTAAGCTTAGAGAGCAAGGTGACCACATACACCCTGCTTTCTCTTACTTTCATCACTGCATATACCATCATCCTTCATTCAACAAACTCTGCTGCAGGTCCTTCCAATAAAACAGGAAAAAAGGTTAAATGTCTGTAGTCTTTGGAAAGAAGAACAGCAGTACTTGTCAGAAACGTGGCCATATATGTAAAACCAGAACAATCTTCAGATAAAAAAATCAGAAGAAGCAATTTTAACGAATGTGCTGAAAACAGGCCAATATACAGAGTGTTACAAATTTGACAGCTTAGATAAAATGGATCAATTCCTCCAAAAGTACAAACTGTCATAACTCAATATAGAACACACAGCTTGAATAGTCCCATGTTCATAAGGAACTTGAAGTCCTGTTCTATTAAAGAAATTGAAGATTCAAGAAATATACACACTCTCCTCAGTCATTGGGGAAGCCTACTAACTATTTAAGTAAAGACTGTCAATTCTGCACAATTTCTTCAGGAACATGAAAGAACACTTCCCAGTTCATTTCATGAACCCACTAGCACCTGGACATCAAAACCAGATGCAAACAGTTCAAAATAGAGAAACTACAGATCCATTTCCCTCATGTATACAGAAACAAATAATCCTTAACAAAGCATGAGCAAGTAGAATACATATTTATAGTATTTAATACATAGCATATTTTATTAAATAAAAGAGCTACGACAACTGAGACCGAGAAGGGGGAATTTGAGCTCTCTGGAGACTTTCTATGTCTACAGTACCTCCACTCTCCATTTGACAGTGTACCCCCTTGTGAATCAAAGATATTTTCTATTTAAAATCGGGGTGATAAGGCTCCATAGTGGTTAGGAGGAGCAGTTTGGTTCTCATTGCACATGGAAGACTTCTTTTCTCTTCTTGAAAATTTTAAGTTATCTGCTTCCCTTGCCATTCTGACTTCATCCTGTTTTCCCTTTGATATTCTCACATTACTTGACATTCTGCAATGTCATGGTGACATACCAAGGTGCAGATTCTTGATTTGGTTGGGCATCCTCTAGGCTGTTTCAACACTAGTGTTTCATTCAATTCTTTGCATATGTCTTCTACTATGTCTTTGATAGTTTCCTTCCCATGATTTTCTATGTTTGGCAATAAAACTTTTGAATCAGTGGGATGATGGATCCTTCTTACATGTTTTTGATTTCTCTAGCCTCTGCCCCGACCAGCTGAATCAAGCAGAATCTGAGGGAGGATGGTAGGTGATTAAGGAAAGACAAGAACAGACGTGTTAGTGAAGGCTGGGACAAGGTGGGCTGTGGCAGAGCAACAGAGACCCTAGTGCTGGTGCAGTTGTTTATTTATAGTGTCTCCAGCAAGTGGGAGTCCAGGGCAAGATCAATATGTCCTAACAGATAGTGTCTTGGCATAATGTTTCTTTCTTAATCATCATTTATTTCACAGTATAACATAAGGTTTAATTTTGAGAAATACTCATTCGCTCTTGTGTTTTAAGACTTAATTATATTCATTTCAGTTCATCTTTAAAATGAATTTCTGTTCACAAAGATTAATTTCTGCAACCATAAGCAGCATGAAAGATGTGTCTAGTCTTTATATCTACTTTTCTCCTTTTATAGATTATACTTCAGTAATCTGCTTATAATAAAGATAATTGTACTTTGAATGTATTCTATACATATTTTTATTTTATTTTATTTTATTAAAAAACATTTATCTTATTTATGCATACAAGGACTGGGGGATAGACCAGAGGTGTGGGGCAGAAGATTCACCAGAGACAGAGTGGGCAGCAGAACAAGAAGATCTACAGAAATATACTGTTGAGGGGAGCAGTGGGCCAGACAGGAGTGGTCTGCTGGGCCATATGGCTTAGCTCCCTGGTTGGGGATTAAATTGGTGCTGTAGTGCTGTGCTTGCTGTTACCTTCATTGTACTGACACTTTACCCCTTGCACCACTATAGAGGCCCTGCACATATTTTTAAAACTAAGTGATTATACTTTCAAATATTACATTTTGGTGCGCAAAGAAATATCCTGGCATGATAACTTAACATAATTGTCAAAAGCCAGGTTTCTACCTTAACTGATTACATTGTTTTCTCAAAGTTGTAATGTTAACATTGTGCTTGTACAGATAAATAAAGAACAGAAATGGAGGTGTGTTGGTGAATGGCATTTAGGTTTTCAGATTTACAGGTCTCATTTGAGATGGACACATATTTTCAGAGTTTTTACATGAACCAGAATAGATCATTTCTCTCACTATGTAATTTGGCCTTTTTTAAATTTATTTTCATGATGATTCTTTTTTTAAGATTTATTTATTTATTCATACAAGAACTGAGGTACAGGCCAGAGGTGTAGGAGGTGAGAGAATTCACCAGAGACAGAGTGGAGAGTACAACAGGCAGACTGATGAAATATACTGCTGAGGGGAGCAGTGGGCAAGATAGAAGAGGTCTGTCTCGCCATGGGTAGCTCCTTGACCAAGTGGGGATCAAATTCATGCTGCAGAGGATGTGGATAGCTTTACAGTGTTGTGCTTAACCCCTTGCACCAAGTTTGGCCTTTTTAAAAGTCTACACCCCATTGATGGTCATAATTATTGGATAATAAATGCTAATATGTTCCATTCTTCACTAGATGAAAAAAAGAGAGCTCTTTATTAGATCTAATAACTTAGATAAATCTGATTGGAATCTCATTAACATGCAACCTAATAAGATGTGACTTTATTATAACTTTTAAAATTGATAATAGTGCTAAAATCAACAAGCAA